GTTCAGCGCTCGGTGGTGTACGGGCGCGAGGCGCGCTTGTCGGGAGTCCTAACGTGAGGAGCCAACGTGTACGCATGTGTGTACGTGTGCGGTGCGGTGTGGCTGAGACTTCTTGGAATTTTACAGCATGACGACAAAACTGCGGGTATTATTCCCGCAGACACCCCCCCCGCACCCACGCAACCATGCCTCCAAGATACAAAACCCGGCAGCAGATGATGAAGAATCAAGAAATGTTAACAGCACGACACACCTGCGGGTAGACAAACTCGTGGAAGACGTCCCTCAACGACGGCACCAGGACGAACTGTGTGGGCAGGTCCCTGTCGTCGGCGAAGAGCGTGTCCAGCTTCTCCGACAGGCGGAGGCGGAACAGGGTCTCGAAGTCCACCGACTCCGAACCGCCGTCGACGCACTCGATCGTCGCGTCTCCGCTGGCCACCTGTTATGGGGTGGTGATTGTCATGGTCATGGTCGTGGTCAAACATACGCACGCCGCGGACGACGAGCGCCCACCCATACGCAGCCGCCGCCATCGCCACCCGACGGATCACGCACACACACGACAAGCGTACCTTGGGGTGCTCGGCGTCCACGAAGGGTCCCATGAGCACCACCACGTCCGGCCGCGCCGCCCTCACTGCCCCCAGCAGGTCGTTCAGCGGCTCGTACACGAGGCTGTCGCTGGTCGTGAACGGGCCCGCCGCGGCGAAGATGGAGAGCGCCTTCCCGCCGCCGAGTTCCGCCCCGTGCTGGGCGCGGAGGAGGTCGGAGGGTCGCGAGGACGGGAGAGGGCGGGGCACTCCGTCGATGATCCCGCGGGCCACCATGCGGCCGCCGGAGCCGTTGACGCCCTGGACGGCCACGACCTGGCCCGGGAAGAGGGCGAAGGTCTGGAGCTCCCGGAGGTCGAGGTGCACCCGCTGACCGCTGCTGTCGCGTCGGGAACCCTGTCGCAGCGGCAATGCGGACAAGGGGGGTGAGACGGGCCCAACGGAGGGACCGGGGGGTTGCTCGGTACCACGAGGCAAGAGCTTATCCCGGGCTGAGTTACTAGTTTACGTCATCTTCCAGCATCAGCGCTTCAAGAAGGAGGAGGGGGGACGGAGATCGAGACATGGGAGGGCGCCGGAGGCTATCGTTCCCAACTTTCACATGGTGCA